AGCTCCTGTCCCTCCAGCCCACACCACGCTGGCCACTCTCTGCCCCCATTTCACAGCACAGTGGGGAAGCCCTGCTCGGGATGCACCTCTCTGCAGATTTTCTCTTCCCTGGCCACAGGGTTGGACAAGGGTTTTGCAAACGTGTTGATCCACCTCATCCCTACTTGTCCCTGACCCCCTCTGCTAGGTCCCTGCTGTGCCAGGGGAGCACGGGGACCCAGCCAGCGAGAGACTGCACCTTTCCCAAACCACCCTCCCAGCAGAGCAGGCATGAGCCATCCCCATGGAGCTGGAGAGGAGCCCTCCTCATGGTCCCCCATCACCAGCACCATCTCCTGGGACACAACACGGTGCCTGGACCAGTTCTGCCCTTTGCTCGGATGCTGCCCCATGAGCTCTCCTGCCAGCAGCCAGCTTTCCAGCCTGGAAAACACGAGACTAGAGGGAAATCGCAAGACAACGTGGAGGTGCTTTCCCACTGTCGGGATTGCCATTTCTGCTCTACAGCTGCAGGAAAAAAATGAAACAATAAGAGAAATAAGAGAATAAACAATAAGAGAAAGGCTTTTTTTGCATTAGGAAGAAGAAATACCAGCTGCAAGGCCAGGCCGGCTCTGGGTGACTGTGCTGTTGGGGACATTTCTTCTCAGTGTGCAGAAGTAGAGGAGTGCTGAGCGTGGTTGCACTGGGTGAGCTGTGCCCAGCACTGTGCTTTTACCTTTGGGACCTGCTCCCTCCCATTCCTGTTCCCATGCAAAGCCGCATCCTGGGATTGACTGCAGCCAAGCAAAAGCAGGTTTGCTGGTGGCTGTTTTACCCCTGCAGCACGGCCAAACCCTTACCCTCATTCTGCTGGTGGGAAAGTGAGGAATAGTCCATTCTGGGGTGGTCAGAGAGAAATCTGGGGTCCCTGCCCCATCCAGGCAGGGCTGGGGGGCTGGCAGGACCCAGCTGCATGTGAGGGCTGGCAGCAGAGATGGGGTGATGTCTCAGAGGAGCAGATATGTGGGAGGAGAGATGCTGTGGTGCCACTGACAGAGTGCATGTGGGTGCCTGTGGGCTCTGTGCTGGGAAATGCTGCTGCTTGGCTGGTAGAAATGGCTATCAGCGGCGGGTACAGGCAGGGAACCGGTCCTGCTCCATGCCCCAGCACCCTCGGACACACAGCTCATGTGCCCTGGGTACCTGCCAGCTCCCAGGGCAGCTCCAATGCTCCATATCCTCTGCTTCCTCCCATCCAACCATGAGCCACTCTCCCTGCTCCCTTCCCAAAGCCTTTGTCAGGATTTTACCCCATACAGCAACATGTCCCATCACCACCCCATTGCACACACAACATGCCCAGGCACCAGTTTGGGATGTGATGTGCGGGGCTGGGAGTGGGAAGCACACATGTGGGACCTGCTTGGGGTGTGTGGAGAGCACATTCCTGTACATAAAAGGCCCATATGTCTATACAAACATGTCTAATTCTGTAAAGGATGTGGGAGGTGGGTGTGTGTGTGGTGGGGGAGTGAGGTATCGGAGGATATTCATATGTCTGCAGTATGGAAACTTTATGGTTTTGCTCAAACCATTTCCCATCATCACATGCCATACAGAGCATGCAGATAGGTTCTATCTCTGTGCTGGTGAACACCACACAGAAGCACATAAAGGGAAAAAAACAGAGGTTTTTGTCCAAATTCTTTACTTTCCAGCATCATGATTTCACACGTGTAAGCCAGGGCCACTCGACATCCAACACAGAGACTCTGAGCCACCTTCCCATAAATAGATTATTATCCACAGAAGAAAGTACTGCCTATCCCATATGTCAATTTCTAAAATAATTTAAAATAATATAAGAACAATAGAGGTGCAGTCCCATGGGCCTTCCCAGGCCACAGGCGGAGGTGTCAGGCCAGATGCAGGAGGCTGCAGACTGGTCCGTCCAAACCCACTGCAAGTAGCAGCAGCCCAGCACGAGGTGTCTCGTGGTGGCCATCCAGCTGTCCCCTGGAGCCACCCGCAGATGACATGGGCTCGTGCAGCTCCTGTCGCCCCAGCATCCTGCTCTGTTGCAGGAGCTCAGGATAACGTGACTCGTGCGTGACAGCAGGCATGCTTGCCATCTTGCATTGCTCAGTTCTGCTTCAAGTTCTGCAGGTAGCTTCGAACCCAGGCGTCACTGGGATTGGCACAGACCTGGCGGCCTTTCTTTGTGATGAACCTGTGGAACAGGGATGAGACATTAGATCTCTGCGCCTGCATCCCAGGAGAGCCTGTATCCCAGCTTTGGGGCATCGGAAGTTTTTTGCCCTAGGCTGATGCTGGAACCAGTGGCTGGCTGTGATTTCCCCCACTCCTCCCCCTTTTCCCACACTGCCTCCTCAACTCCTGTCGGAACATCCCTGGAGTCCCCACAAGAGCATCCCTGGCAGTCCCTGTGCAAGCCCCTTCCCCTTGGGGTTCCCCTCACCCTGCTCTGTTCCTACAGACCCCCAGCCCACAGCCACCCCCAGAGCTGGTCACTCAGAGGCACACACCCCGTGGTGGCTGTCCCCGTGCTGTCCCAGCTCATCTGCACCCAGGAGTCAGTGCTGGTACTCACACGATGGCCGGCAGGGTGCAGCTGGTGCTGGTGACGTAGTAACGCAGGATGAGCTTCCGCGGGAGCTTGTGGTGTGTGTAAGAGAAGCAGCAGATAGGGAGGTCGGATCCCACTGGAAGAGGCAAGGAGAGATGTGAGCACGTGCCGAGCGGTGTGTCGGGAGCAGCCAGCCCATCAGCTTGGTGAGCTGTGCTGGCGGGGAAGGGACAGAGGAATTAGAGAGTAATTAAGGCTGAAATGGACATTGGGGATCATCTGGTCCAATGCCAGGAATGGTATTGTCAGGTACTGGGGCAGACTGCCACCCAGTCATTGCTCAGAGCTTCGCTCCCCACCTCCCCCAGCCCCAGGGCAGAGACTGAAGTCCCTAAACTATAACCAGGAATAAGCACTCTGAGCCCAGGGTAGTTGGACAGATGAATGGATGGATGGATGGATGGATGAAGGGTGGATGGATGATTTTCTAATTCTGAGGTTCCTACATGTAGCTGATCTCAGTGCAGAGGGGTACAAACACTGAAGAATTCCCAGTTATCTGCCAGGGGAGCTCAATGAAGAAATGGTAACAAAGGCTCAGATCTGTTCTTCCTCTACAAATGAAAAAGCAGGACTCACCTGGGCCAGAGAAGGTTTGGGAGCAAGAGGCTGAAATGAGGAGAAGAGCAAAAAGAGCTGCAGAGGTCTTCATCTTCCTGCTGGGTGAGGGCAGCCGGAGCAGGACCAGAAGCTCTGGCAGATACGGCTCAGACTGCAGCAGCTGGATTCAGCCCCCTTTTAACAGGGAGTCCTGGAGGCAGCCGAGAGAAGCCTGAGTGGAAATTCCAGAATGATGACAGAGGATGTCATGAAAATGAAATAGCCAAAGGGAATTAGAAGGAAAAAAAAAAAAAGGCAGAAAGAATGGGATATGTCCACATTGGAGCCAAGTGTGTTGAGCTCTGACTCAGCGCTCATTTTCGATTTCATCAAATCAAAAGGAAACTAAAAATGTGCCAAGTGACACGGTCACAAAGAGCAGAACTATTTATCTGAACTACAGGAGGGATTTTCCCTGTGTGTCTGTATAGCAAAAGACACAATGTTTGCCTAAGATTATGCAACTCTGGAAAAAAAACCCAGGCAGGCTCCTAGGCACTCTCGTGCTGTTATGTGGCGGGTGTTTATCCAAGCTTGCTGGCTGCAGCACATGGAGCTGAGAGGTGGCTGGACCGTGGGCTCTGTGCTATCCAAATTGCTCTGCGCCTGCCAGTCCTGCACTGCCTGGCTTAACGTGGACCAGCGAGGAGCTGAGGCTGGAGGCACCCCTGGAGATCGTCCAGTCCAGCCCCTGCTCAAAGCCCAGATGGGCTTTGACTATCTCCAAGGATGGAGACTCCACAACCTCGCTGAGCAACCTGTTTGAGTGTTCAGCAATAAAGTATTACTGAAAGTATTATTACAACTTCCCATTGCCTCTTGTCTTCTCACTGGCCACCACTGGGAAGAGTTGGGCTCCATCTGCTTTGCTCCCCACACACACGTTGATAAGATCCCCCTGAGTCTTCTCCAGGACAAATGGTCCCAGCCCTCTCAGCCTTTCCACATAGGAGAGATGCTTCTGTCCCTTAATCGTCTTTATGGCCCTTGGTGGGACTCCCTCCAGTATGATCATATGTCTCTCATACTGGGAAGACCGGAACTGGACCCAGCACTCCAGCAGTGGCCTCACCACTGCTGCGCAGAGGGGAAGGATCACCTCCCTTGTCCTGCTGGCAATGCTCCTCCTGATGCAGCCCGGGAGCGTGTTGGCCTTCTTTGCAGCAAGGGCACATTCCTGCTCAAGTCCAGTTTGGTGTCCACCACGACCTCCAGGTCCTTTTTGGCCAAGCTGCTTTCCAGCCAGCTGTCCCCAGCATGTCCTGGTGCCTGGGGGTGTCCCCTCTGGGGCAGGACTTGGCACTTTTCCTTGTTGAACTTGATGAGGTTTTTGTCAGCCCATTTCTCCAGCCTGACGAGGTCCCTCTGCATGGCAGCACATCCCTCTGGTGTGTCAGCCACTCCTCTCACCTTTGTGTCATCCGCAAACTTGCTGAGGGTGCACTTTGTCCCATTGCCTGAGTCATTAAGACATTAAACAGGACTGTCCCCAGTATCCATCCCTGGGGTTCATGCTGACTGCTGGCCTCCAGCTGGACTTTGTGCCATGGATCACAACGCTCCTGTTCAGACAGTTCTCAGTCCCTCTCACTGCCACTTATCTATTCCATACGTCCTCAGCTGGCCCATGAGGACGTTACGGGAGCCTTAGTAAAGTCAGAATAAACGTCATCTGCTGCCCTCACCCACCTGGGCAGCCACTCATCGCTGAAGACCACCAGGCTGGTGAGGCATCTGACTACTCACAGTCACCTTAACAGCCACAGGCCTCCACAAAGCAACGGAATGGCAGGATCTCACCCTGCTTTGGAGGGTCTTTGCAGGCAAGAGGGTCTTTTGCCACCTCAACCTCAGTCCCCAGGGGGTGGGGAGTTGGCTGGAAGAGGTGCTTTGCCACACCAGAACAGCATGGACCTCTCCCTCCAAAAGCTCCCTTGAGTCCAAGATTGATTTCCTGTCCAAAAAGGTGAGAAACAAGTGGTGGAGAACCTTCCTGGCAAGCAAGAGACTTCCCAGCCTCGTCAGGTCGCTGGCTTGAGGCATCTCCTGCCCAGGCAGCGGGGCAGAGCAGCAGCTCTGCAGGGACAGGGGGAACCTGGGGCTTCCTGACGCCCTGCCACAGCCTGGGGGTGCCCCCCTCCACTCAGAGAGGATGCTCAGGCTTGTGGGTGGGCTCCTGGGCCTGGATTTCATCCCCAGAAGTGTGAATCCCCTGCTCAGCTACCCCGGAGCTGCAAGCGAGAGCAGTGGAGACAGCATCCTTCCTGAACCGGCTCGGCTGTGGCAGGGACAGGTATAATTTGCTCAGAAAGAAGGTTCAGGGCCCCTGACACAGGTGATGATCTGCTCCTCTACACACTCACCCCCCCAGGGAGGATGTCTTTTGCTTCCCTGCATGGTCTATCCTGCATTGCAAACCAGGACGCTGCCACGGGCTGCAGCAGGCTGCAGGCTCACCCTGCAGCTGGGCAGAGCATCACCAGAGTGGCCGAGGGTGTGCTTTTACTCGGGCCAAACACTTTGAAAGTCCTGACATCAGTATGAGGGAAGGTGTTGGATTTTGCAGGATCCATAGCAAGCCCTGGCAGGGCTTGTCTGAGCAGCTCTGGGCAGAGGTGCATGGCAGAACAAGAAGTGGCTCCAGCTCTTGGCTAAATTGCCATAAAGCAAAACCAAATTGTGGCTTTTTTCCATGGAAATAAATCTTGCAGAAACCACCAGTGGGAGTTTTATGTTCCTCTGTGCTTGCAGCTCACATGCTAGCGTGTGCACAGGGAAATGACAAACAGCGGCTGCCGGCACTGCATTGCCGGGTGAGAAAGGTTGTGGCTGCAGAAAGACAGCTTTGTGGCCAACACCTCCTTTGCTCATGGGAACTTCACAGCTTCTGCTGCCTGCAAGGAACAAGCCACAGGGCCGGTCGCCCGCGCGGTGCTGTCTTGCTTCGCTGCACAGAGTACCCAGGGGTGGTGGGGAGGTGTGATGGGGGTGTGATGGGATCAGTCTGCATCAGGCAGCTCTGCCCTCCAGCTGGAAGTGCTGAGACAGCCAGTGGAAGGAAAGGAGCCGTCATTCACTGCCGATGACTTTGACAGAAGCGGAGGAAGAGGGTCTGCACAGAGCTGCTGCAGCTGCAGCCGCTTGGTTGTGTCATCAGCACGAACCGATCTGCGCTCACAAAACCTCCCGTTGTCAGCGGGGATGTTGTTTCCCCCGCAGTGCTGAGAAGCCTCCTGCAAAGGGGGCACCTCTCCCCTCCTCAGCCACCCCTCTGTGCTGCTGACCCTTCCCCAGGCCTCTGGCTGCGAGTCCACCGGCTGCTCCCGCAGCCCATCGCCCTCGCCACCCTCCGAGGCCACCTTCTGTTTCCCGTTTTCTGTTTCTGAACCTGGGTTTTCGCTTCTCTGCCAAATCCCAGAGCCCTCTGCTGTCACCGTTCCTGCAGTTTAAGCATTTACAAGCTGGCCTCTCTCAAGCTTCCTTTATTATTCCTGGAAACGAGCCATTTTTTTATCATTTTAGCCTCATCCAGACTGGGGCTTGAAATTTGTTTGGGTGCAGGCAGGGTAGGAAAAGCAAGCTACAGCAATTCAAAGAGGAAGACTGTAGGGAAGGATGTTCTGGTGGGTGCTGAGTCTTCATCCCCTGGGACAGATGGTGGCAAGAATCAGCCCAGAGAGTTTGGGACTCCTCCAAGCACCCCGAAATCCTGCCCTCACCAAAAGCCACTGGTCACAGAGCACATACCCCGAGGGCTGAGGGATGCAGGGTGCTTTTCCTACGGGCGATGGTGAGGGCTGTCCCCAGGCTGGTGGGGAAGCCTTGTCTGCCTTTCCCTGGGGGCACAGCCCACCCGTGGGGCTGCACCACCCCAGCCCTGCCACCGTGGCACCGTCAGAAGGACCTCGGAGCACGTAAGAGGATATTATGCCATCCCTGTCACTCCTGCAAGCTGTTTGCTCCTCTTGCCCGAAAGCCCACAAGCGGATGGGAACTCTGGGGTGTGGGGTGCTCCATTTTGGAGACGCTGGTGGTTCCACCTGGGGCAAGGGCGCAGTGCCCGGGGGTCACAGGCTTGTCCTTCTCCTCGCAGCCTGGGGCAAAGGCAATCCCTGACACAGCCCAGCTCCCTCCACTCCCACTGGCAAACCATCCCCAGTGAGCCCATCCTGCACGTCTCCACAGGGTCCCCGAGGGATGCAGGAGGCACATGAGGAGGCTGGGGGGCCATGGCATGGCAGGAGTTGTGCCGGAGCTCCCTGAGCCCTCCCCTCTCCCCCAGGAGACGCAGGTACCAGGCACAGTCCGTGCTGGCTGGGGTGAAGGGACAATGGCCCTTTTGAATGGCACAAGCCCATCTGGGGTGGCCAAAGCCTCAGCATCCCAGGGAGCAGGATGAGACCTGTGCTTCAGAGGGACACTGCAGAGCACCCCAACCTACAAACAGCCCCCACACGTGGGAAGTGGTTTGCAGCCTTGCAGAGAGCCCAAAATAAATCACAAACATCCGAGCCCAGCTGCTGGTCTCCGTGCGTGACCACCGACCGGAGCTGGAAAGCTCACACCTTGCTGTGGGAGCAGGGGCTCACACCTCCCGTGGGGTTTCCTACCCCCTGTCAGTGCTGGGGAATGGGGACCAACACCAGCCACATCCCCGCCAGCAAGAGAGGGACCACACTGGAGTCTCCAGGAGGTCCAAGGGCCATACACTTGGGAAGTCCTCTGGCTGTGACAATGGCCCTGACACAAGCTCAACCATTAACCCCAGCCTCAGCCCCCACCGTCAGCAAGGGCAGGTCCCGATGCTCAGCCGTTCCCAGAGCCCCCGTGGGTGCGGCCGCCCTGTGCTCTGTGGCCACCCGCAGCCAGCCCACCCAGACCCCGGAGATCTGGCCTCCACACCACCAGTGAAAATGAAAACAATCCATTTGCGGCTTGCGTCCTTTCCTTTTTTTTCTCCATTGTGATGCACACACAAGGCTCAGTGGGTTCATTCATACACCGGTTCTGTTTCGCATCCTAGCACATGTCTGAATTTTTGTCCCATTCTTCCTCGCTCTTTCTGGCCTCACCGAAGATCTGAGTGTGGGGGCAGAGGATGCAGCCCCAGCA